GTGCTACGTTGTATGTGTGGTTTGTTGGGTTTGCATGCCTTTGCATTGCACTTATGCAGATGTGCTTGGATTTTGATGATATCGAGCACATGCCAACGAGCCAAGAATTGTTGGAATTAGAGCACATCTGAAGAAGTTACGAAGAAACGTATGATGGATTCAATACGACTTCTTGTAACTCATTAGCAGCTGCTACACCAAAGTTCGAGCATCCTATAAGGAGCAGGGACCAACATGTGAGGGACTTTTCTTCTCACATTGCAGCTGCAGCATTTGGGGTTGGATGCCAACCTGACACAATATGCACAGTCGGGATATTGTCTTGCCAGGCTAGTTGAACCTAAGGATTGGTTGGCTGGACAAAGGGACCAAGACCTTGACTCTTGTCATGTTCTTGACCAAGAGCCTCCAGGGTCCTTCTTTTTCATCCTTCCTTTCCCACCCTATCTTCCGATTGTGCTTCAAATTTTCCATCATGTATGTGAACTTGTAAGCTTCAATGATTGTAACGGACTGTCAAATTTTCATAATGCATACTACCCCCCACTGCGCCAAATGCCATAGCTCAATCGCTATACTACGGAATCGAGTGATTAAACTTTCATTGGAAAGCTGACTTTGCAAGCTACAATATATCTTATTTTTAGATCGTTTTACCAAGTGTATTCTCGGATATACAATGACGGAAACTATTGTCCGCATGTTTGTGCGTTAGACAGATTTTGGAATATTAAGGGGTCATTCACATTAAGCCTTATTCTTTTGGTGTGCCCACTGTATGTAGGTTGGGGTAAGGCTCTAGGCCCATGCCTTACATCTCACGAACATATTGATATTTACAGCAAATATCAGAAATTAACAATAATGGTACATGCGGAAAATTACAGCCAGGCACAAGCAGCAACTTTCAAGAACCCAAAACTGGAACCTAGTCCACCGCCCTTTCCCCTTTATCACTGCCCTCACCCTTCTGGGCATGCTTTCCACCAGGTGGGTGCACACATCTATCGAGATCTTCTCCCATTCTTCCTGGACACGCTCCCAAAGGTCCAGCATTCCTGTGGGAGGCCTCTCGTGCTTGGCCAGCTCCCTCTTGAGATGAGCCCATAGATGTGTTAGAAATAGACTGCAAATACCACTTTTGTATTTGTACTTTTATATCCTAGTTTAGGTTGTGAATGTTTTAATGGGTTGGGGTGTACTCACAAAATCCCAACCTCACCCAATTGTGATCCCCACAATCTCCAATTACCCAATTGGAGATTCCGGAGATCCCAATGGGGATTCCCTCCAATTCCCCCTTCATCCATTCTCTCTCACCTTGCCATGTACTTATAGAGCCTTGGGCTCCTTTCCTAATAAATCATTTCAACTCTATTTCTTACGTGGTATCAGAGCAACCTATCCGCACACGCGGATCAAGGTCCTAATCTGAACGTGCCCGCGCTACGCGCACTTCATCGTCGCGACATTCGTTTCGAGTCGTCGCAATTTCGACGTGCTCCACTCTGCAGTCGCGCCTCTCATCGTCGACCGCCTTCGCGCTCGACCTCGTTGAATTTCTCATCTCTGAAGCGTTCACGCTTCTCGTCGTCAATTTCCTCCTCGGTTCTCCTTGGTCGAATCTCTATTTTGACCATCTCTTAAAACTCGTTCTCGAGTTTCCCCTCAGACCCCGCCAGAATAGGCCAACTCCCCTCGCGAAATCGCGTCCACGAACGTCTCGCGTCAAGCAAGAGCAGGTACACAGGTTGAAGCGGAGCGGAGCTGGTTGCGGAGCTGGTTGCGGAGCTAGTTGCGGAGCTGGTTGCGGAGCTGGTTGCGGAGCTGTGTAGCTGCGGGACAGGGCCTGGGGGTGTGTGGGGGGTGTGTGGGTCCGGGGTTAGACATAGGCTCAGATTCAGTTTCAAGTCGGCGTTTTAACGAATTTTCGCCGACGCCATTTCCTACTTAGCGGCATTTTGATACAGCCGTCAGAGTGATTTTCAGCAATTCTCGTCGACCAATTTCCAGAAGTGCCGCGCTGCACACCGACAATGGCTTACTCAACCACTTCACTCGCCTACCCGATCCCGCTCCTTCGTCTCGAGCCGGACGGCACATGCTCCAACTACAAGGCTTGGCGCTATGGTGTCGACAAGCACCTCCTCAGTCGCGAGGTGAAGGGGCTCGAGCTCACCGACGTCCTTCTCAACATCGGTGACGGCAAAGAGCCTCCTAAACCCGAGAGGTCCGCCGATCCAGCTAATGGCGCCGCCGAAGCAGTTTATGCTGTTGCACTGCTCAAGTACAAAAATTGGGAGAAGGCCGATGGTGCGGTCATTAGTGTCTTCATGGGCACCACTCCTCCCGAACTCGTCGAAACCTACCACAACTACCCGTCTGCCAACGCCATTGGCTCTACCTCGAAGATCGCTTCCTGAACAAGACTGCAGTGGGAGTTGCAATACTCATCCCCAGCATGTTCCAAGTGCGGCTCGAGGACTCGCCAGGCATGGCGGACTATGTCACCAAGGTGCAGTCCATTCATGGTGAACTCAAACAGTTGGGGATAGTCTTCCCCGAGCAAGCCCCTGCAGCCGCTCTCCTAGTCGGCCTCACTCCGGCATACGAAGTCACACGCAAGATGCTCTTGGGCCTTGCTCCTGCAGACCTCACATTTGCCAAGGTCTCATCCGCGCTCCTTTCTGCCAAAAAGGACAGCAGCGCTCAAGCCTAGGCCAATGCAATCCGCGCTCCCGTGCCTCAAGCCTATGCCGCTTTGGTGCCATTCCAGCGCAACCGCTTCCCCCCGTGTCCCTATGTCATCAAGCGCGGCCCTCGTGCCGGCCAGGTGTGTGGCGGCACCAACCACGCCCTTGCCTCCTGCTTCAAGAAAAAGGATGACGATTGGTATGCCGTCAATGGGACCGCCGCGAAGCCGCCAAGCTAGATGGTCAATCGTGCTCCTCGCAAGGTCACTCAAGTCAAAGCGCAGGAATCCATGCAGGCAGTTGCAGCTCCCACTGCTGATGTGCGCCTCCACATGTTGTTCCCTGGCACTGCCATGATTAATGAGACGATTTCGCAGTGTCCCGGCTCACAAAGCACCTCAGCCACAATAGAGTTCACCCTCGACAGTGGGGCCACTCACACGGTTCTCAAGGAAGAACACTCCTTCAAGCCATACGAGACACCAATCCGTCTACTAGGAGCAGACTCCAGTTTCACAACACACGCCAAGGGCTCCTCCACAGTTCCGTGCCCAGCTTTTCCTTCAGGCAGTGTCACCGGCATGTGTGTTCCCACACTACGCCACAATCTCGTGGCCCAACACGAGCTCCAACGGGCAGGCGTCACCAGGATCTTCCGAGCACACTCGGATCACTGTGACCTCTTCGACCCTAAGTCCAACAAGCTCCTAGCACGCATCACACTCAACAGTAGCAAGCTCTACACGCTGCGTTCACCTGCACCTCTCGTCGCCCTCTCCCAAGCGCAAGCTGCCAGCACCACTCCGTGTTCGTGTCACAGCTTCGCCAACCCAACCATCCTCTACCACCATCGCTTGGATGTGGAGAACGAGGCGTTCATTCAGAACAACAGCTTTGACGATGTTGTTCCCCCTTCCGGTGTCAACATCGTCGGCGGAAAATGGATCTTCCGAGTCAAACAACTCCCAGGCGAAGCTCCACTGTTCAAGGCACGATACGTGGCGAAGGGTTTCACCCAGAAGGAGTATCTCGAAACATTCTCGCCCACGGCCAAGCTCCCGACTGTGCGCGCTCTTCTTGATATAGCCGCTCACGGCAACTTCGAGATCAGGTCCATGGACGCCTCCTCCGCCTTTCTCCAAGGCCAGCTCAAGGAGGATGTTCACATGGAACGCCCACCGGGGTTTCCTGGCACTTACCCTGCCAACACAGTGTGGAAGCTGAAGCGCCCAGTGTATGGCCTCAAGCAGGCTCCTCGTGAGTGGCACAACAAGGTGAAGGAAGTCCTCCTCGCACTTGACTTCCATCCCTCTGCCTCAGATTCCAGTCTCTTCGTTTGTCACTCCTCTGAGCCCTTCTACATCCTCGTCTACGTCGACGACTTCATTCTAGCCGCCAGAGATCCAGCCGACATGGCAGCTGTCCAGTCTGCTCTCAGCTCCGCCCTTCTCATGAAGGATCTTGGTGACCTCAAGAACTACCTGGGGATGGAGATCACTCGTGACCGCCAGGCTTGCACGATCACCCTCTCCCAGGTGTCCTACATCGACAACCTTCTCAAGCGGTTCGATATGGACTCCAGTAACTCTGTCTCCACTCCACTCCCACTACTGCATCAGCTCACGGCCCCTCCAGCTCCTTCTCCTGACGCCTGCAAGGACCCGTACCCTGAGCTAGTCGGTTCACTCATGTATGCCATGATGTGCACTCGACCGGACTTGGCTTACCCGGTTAGTGTCCTCTCTCGGTACGTCTCCCCCGGACGCTACACTGCCTCGCATTGGTCTGCAGCCAAGAGGGTCCTCCGCTATCTACAAGCCACCAAGTCCCACATCCTCACTCTTGGTGGTACCTCTCCAGTCAAGCTCGAGGGATACACAGACTCCGTTCCATGGGGCTATGTGCTCCTTGACCGGGTTTGCAGTCTATGGGGGTGTGTTAGAAATAGATTGCAAATACCACTTTTGTATTTGTACTTTTATATCCTAGTTTAGGTTGTGAATGTTCTAATGGGTTGGGGTGTACTCACAAATCCCAACCTCACCCAATTGTGATCCCCACAATCTCCAATTACCCAATTGGAGATTCTGGAGATTCCGGAGATCCCAATGGGGATTCCCTCCTATTCCCCCTTTATCCATTCTCTCTCACCTTGCCATGTACTTATAGAGCCTTGGGCTCCTTACCTAATTAATCATTTCAACACTATTTCTTACAAGATGCTCTATTGGGTTGAGGTCGAGTGATGATGATGACCAATCTGTTATAATCACAATAGGCTCAGATGTGCCTAAAATGAGAGAAAATGTGCACAGTCAGAATTCCGTCAGCCAGCTTCAAATATTGATGCCGATCTGATGTGTGCCTCAAACGGTGATCTGTAAATTGGATCTGGAGCGCGTTGGTGTCGCCTATCAGCAGCAAGTTGAATCATAAAATTCCATCGAGATTTGACGACGCTATGGCGGTTTGACTGGCAGGAGGTACAGCAGCCACTATAGTGTTAGGAGTACAAAAAACTTAGGAAGAAGAATTCGAGAGGGAGATGGTTCCCAGCCTCTACATACCCCAAGAGCCGAGGTCCAGGTTGGTGGTACACCACCACAGGGTCCCCAACCATGAAGAGTCTCGAAACCAACCCTCCAAGGGGCTACACCAAGTGAAATGTAACACTACACGAAGTAACGTTACTATTTTCACTATTTAATATTTATCCGCGTCCCTTGGGCTTGAAATCTTGAGCTCTTGTTCCTGGATCTGCAAGATAAATTCTTCTTGAGTTGATGGGGGCTTGCTGCACACACCTGCGACACGATCGACACTTCACACTCGACAAAATAGAAAAAACACATGCGACACACAAACGACGACTTGACATGCGAGTTGTAAAAACTTGCTAATGTCTTGACCGACACAAACCACATTGTGATACACCATTCAAACACACACACAAGCACTGGATAGCAATGACATAGACTCACAATTCATTCCATGCCATGCATGCACACACACAAACAAGGACGACAAGCCGAGTGCAAGCCATAGGGTTGCACCAACAAACTCCCCCTCGGATTGTTGGCCTTAGAATCTGCTCCCCTTAGTTCAGAGCCATCCCAGCAAGCTTGCAACACTTCCAATGCTGCTGCTCAACCAGCCTCTTGGTCATCATATCAGCTGGCTGCGCCGTCGTCTTCACGTAGTGCAACTCCACTTCACCCGCGGTTACCATGCTCCTCACCCAATGCCACTTCACCTTCATGTGCTTGGTAAGGCCATGAAGAACGGGGTTCTTAGCCAATGCAATAGCACCCTGGCTATCACAGTAGAGTGGGGTAGGTCCTTGCTGCTCCTCCCCCAATTCAGCTAGCAAACGCCGCTGCCACACAACCTCTCTTATGGCACGGAAGAGTGCCATGTACTCGGACTCCACCGAGCTCAATGCTTGGTCCACTTGCTTCTTGCTCTCCCAAGCTGTTGGCCCTCCACCAACACAGCAGATGAAGCCTCCCACACTTGTCATGTCCTCTGGTTCTGATGCCCAAGATGCATCAGAGAAGGCGGTGAGAAAAAGCCTCCCGGGTTCGACTCCATCCGCACCCTTTTGACGCCTTTGTGCCGCCGCGGAGTATTGCAGTCCAACAGTTGCTGTTTGGCCAAGGTACTTGGCCACTCTCTCTCCAGCTGCTACCTGCTCTTCATTAGGGCATTGGACAACCCTAGCCAGCTGCCCGGTAGCAAAGGCTGCATCCGGCCTTGTGTGAACGGCCGCATACATGAGGCTGCCCACCAAGGAGTGAAAACGGCGCCTCTCCTCTTCACCAACACTTTCCTCCGCTGGTCCTTTCACACACTTGAACCCTGAGGGAAGAGGAGTAGCCACATGACCTTCACTCTTCCCAAAGTTTGCAGCCAAGGCCTCCAAGTACTTCTTTTGATGCACTCGCATCCACCGCTTCTCCACATCTCGCTCAATGTGAAGCCCAAGGTAGTAGTTGACGTCACCAAGGGTCTTGCACTTGAACTTGTCTTGAAGCTTCAGCATCACCTCCTTCACAAGGTCAGAGGAGGGTGAGAATATAAGGATGTCATCCACATAAACCACCATGAAGCTCCTCTGCTCCCCCTCGCCAAGCATGAACAACGATTGATCGGCCGTTGAGGGAGTGAAGCCGATCGCCTCCAAAACTTCCCGCAGCTTGATGTACCATTGCCTAGGGGCTTGCTTGAGGCCATAGAGTGCTTTCTTCAGCTTCCACACTCTGCCACTCCCATCATTGTACCCCTCTGGCTGCTCCATGTAGGTTTCTTCCTCCAAAACGCCGTTGAGGAAGGCCGTTACGATATCCATTTGCTTCACCACCCATCCTTTGATGGCCGCCGCGGCGAAGAGGGTTCGAAGGGTTGTACCCTTCACCACAGGAGCATACACTTCATTGTAGTCCTTCTTCTCTTGCTGCTGATACCCCTTGGCTACAAGTCTGCTCTTGTAGCGCTCGATGTTGCCGTCGGCGTCGGTCTTGCGCTTGAAGAGCCACTTGGAAGAGATCGCCTTACGCCCCGGAGGTAGGTTCACCAAGTCAAACGTGTCGTTCTCGATGATGCTCCCCATTTCTTCATCTGAGGCCTTCTTCCACTCCTTCCCATTGGGGCCCTCCCAAGCCTCCTTGGGATTTGTAGGCTCCCCCGGCATCTCCACCGGAGAGAAGAAGGCAAAGGCGCACTCCTCGCTTTCATCTTCCGCATCATCGCCTAGCATGAGAGCCGAACCGGTCAAGGTTGAGTTGGCTGGTCTTCCAAGCCGATCATAGCTCAACCTATTAGGGGGCTGAGTTCTCCTTCTCCCCCTTCCTTCCTCCTCTGCTGCAGGGACTTGAATGCTCTCATGGCATTGCGGTAAATCTGGTCGGTTCCCACGAGCACTTGTAGCACGAGGCGGAAGTGACGGTGCACGCTCATCACCTTGCTGCACCTCCTCCTCCTCTTCATCCCCATTCATTTGAGGAGATTGCCTCGTGACTGTGCTGCTGCTACTCAGCTCCAAGGGCAGCTCCACATGCTCCAAGCCGTTACTCTTCACCTCTCCAAGCCGCATACCAATCTTCGCTTGGTTCTCCGCCTTCCACTCCTTGTACGGTAAGTTCTCCATGAACTTGCAATCTCTGCTCACCAAGAACTTCTTGGTAAATGGGTCCCAAAGAAGCCATCCCTTGCTGTTTTGAGCCATGCCCAGGTGCACGGCCCATGTTGCCTTGGCATCAAGTTTGTTGTGCCGAAGTTTCTTAGGCACAAGTGCCATGCACATGCACCCGAACACCCGAAGCATATCCACCTTCGGCTTCCTTCCAATCCACTCCACATAGGGCACCCATTTGTCTTCTCCCACATGAGTCAAGGCTCTGTTCTTGGCCACACAAGCATGCCGCACCGCATCCGGCCAAAAGTAATTGGGAAGACCGGCTTCAATGAGAAGTCCCCGAGCCGTCTCCGTGAGTGTCCGATTCGCACGCTCGGCGATGCCGTTCATTGCAGGAGAGTAGGGCATGGTAAGAGAGTGCCTTATGCCCTGCTTCTTCAGCCAAGTTGAGAAATCCTTGCTCAGGAACTCTCCCCCACGGTCAGTGCGAATCGCCTTCACAAGTCGGTCTTGTTGCCGCTCCACCATCGGCAACCAATCGGTCTTCACCGTTTCAGCTACGTCACTCTTCTTTGGCAGCACATACACCCAAGTCATGCGAGTGTAGACGTCCACAATGGTGAGGAAGTACGCAGCTCCAGCAGCTCCAAGCTTCAAGGGGCCCACCACATCCATCACCACCTCATCAAGTGGTGCCTTCGCCGTTGTCTCCGAGCTATGGAACGGGTAGCGGGTGAACTTGGCTTGCATGCATGTTGGACAGCCAAGCACCTCATTGGGCTCCCCCTTGACACGTATCCCACTGACCATCTCTTGCTTAACTATCTGCTGCAAAATGGGCAATGCCACATGCCCCATTCGCCGATGCAAGGTCAGCCAATCACACTCTCCCGTAGCGGAAGTCGGGTTGGAGAAAGCGGCACTCGCAATCGTGTCCCACAAGCTCTCTCCTTTCTCCTTCGCCGCTGCTGCTTTGCTGATCTTAGGTTTCCCCTCCTCATTTCCACCACCTTTGGCTGCTGCACTACTCTCCTTGGGTTCACACGCCTTGCTGGTCTCTCCAAGATTGCACTCCTTCGAGTCACTCTTGGTGTCACTTTGTTTTCCGTGATCACCGCCACCATCCGCTTCACTCTTGGTGCTGACGCTTGCTGCCACTTGCCTCTCCTTAGGCATGGGGACCACTGGGATTTGCCACATCTCATTGTAGATGTCCCTGTCCTCATGAAGGTCCCAAAGCTTCCGCTCACCAAGCCTCGCGGTATATGTTTTCGAACCCTTGGAAGATGTGTCCATGCCGGCCTTTTGCAAACGCCGAACGGAAATCAGGTTGGCTGCTAGGTTGGGCACCAAAAGCACGTTCTTGAGGCCCACCATCTTCCCATCAGCACCCTTGAACATGGCCTTGCCCATGCCTTTCACCTCTGCTCGCTGTCCCAAAGCCGATGTAACATGCTTGACCGGCGACGGTTCGAGTTCGGTGAGCAAGTCCGCACGAGGTGTCATGCTATAGGTGGCGCCGCTATCGATCACCCAAAAGTCCAGAGAGTGAAGGGTGACCTTTCCCACAGTAGCTGGCTCCTCAAAGCCTTCCACACCTCCTGCTGCAGCTGCCGCTTGCGTGGAGACAAAGAAGAATTGGCCTGGGTATCGATCTTCACTCGGGCCCGTCTCGTAGTCTCCACCTTTCATGCATGCCGCTTCGCTTCCACGACCACCACGGCCTCCACGACCTCTGCCTCTTCCTCCCCTTGCTCCTCTGCCCTCTTGGCCTTGAGAAGGGGTCCATCCATCAGGCAATCTGTAGCAATCTCTCCACATGTGGCCGGTCTTGTGGCAAAAGTGGCATTCGCCATCAAATCGACCGCGCCCACGCCCGTAGCCATTGTTGTTGTTGTTGCTGCCATATCCTCCATTACCACGGCCTCCATTGAAGTTGCTGCTGCCAAATCTTCCTCCTCGCCCTCTGCCCCTTCCACGGCCGTGCCCACGGCCCATGCTTGCAACTCCGGCACCATCGGTACCCGCCAATTCACGACGACGGAAATCTTCTTGTAAGATTTCCCGCTTCACATCTTCGAGCGAGAGGCGGGGCAGATCTCGATTTAGGTTGATGATGAGCGAGGACCATGAGTCCGGAAGCAAGGCCAGCAGCTTGGTCTTCTTTTGAAGGTCACTGTAGTTCAGGTCAGCTCCTTCAAGCCGTGTCAACAAGTCGAAGAATTTCTGCACTCCGTCCTCCACCGGTTCGCCTTCGTCAATTCGAAGGGCCGCCATTTGCCGCTCCAAAACCACAGCCACCGCCGCTGTTGCAGGAGCGTGTACACCCTTGAGAGCAGCCCATGCCTTTGGTCCCTTTGCTGGTTCACGCTGAAAAGGCTTGATGTGACGGATTTGGCTGCTCCCCAACGCTTGCCCAAGTAGAAGATAGCCTTGTGCGCTCTTCCGCACCCACGGGCTCTTCTCCGGGTCGTTCTCGGGGCGCTTCTCCGTTCCTTCCATCACCTCCAGCAGATCATAGTGGTCAAAGATGTTCTCCATCTTGAAGGACCACTCAGCAAAGTTGTCACCGTTGAACTTGTCAAGGCCAAACACTCTAGGCTCATCCCTAGAGGGGCCAAGGCTAGGTTGCACGGGAGCCATGGGTGGATCTTGGTGTTGACCTTGTGCTTGGGCGTCTTCTCTGCCTCCAGCACCTCTGCCACCCCCTTCCTCAGGTCTAGGCATGGTCGAGACAGCTCCAAGGGGCTCTGATACCACTTGTTATAATCACAATAGGCTCAGATGTGCCTAAAATGAGAGAAAATGTGCACAGTCAGAATTCCGTCAGCCAGCTTCAAATATTGATGCCGATCTGATGTGTGCCTCAAACGGTGATCTGTAAATTGGATCTGGAGCGCGTTGGTGTCGCCTATCAGCAGCAAGTTGAATCATAAAATTCCATCGAGATTTGACGACGCTATGGCGGTTTGACTGGCAGGAGGTACAGCAGCCACTATAGTGTTAGGAGTACAAAAAACTTAGGAAGAAGAATTCGAGAGGGAGATGGTTCCCAGCCTCTACATACCCCAAGAGCCGAGGTCCAGGTTGGTGGTACACCACCACAGGGTCCCCAACCATGAAGAGTCTCGAAACCAACCCTCCAAGGGCTACACCAAGTGAAATGTAACACTACACGAAGTAACGTTACTATTTTCACTATTTAATATTTATCCGCGTCCCTTGGGCTTGAAATCTTGAGCTCTTGTTCCTGGATCTGCAAGATAAATTCTTCTTGAGTTGATGGGGGCTTGCTGCACACACCTGCGACACGATCGACACTTCACACTCGACAAAATAGAAAAAACACATGCGACACACAAACGACGACTTGACATGCGAGTTGTAAAAACTTGCTAATGTCTTGACCGACACAAACCACATTGTGATACACCATTCAAACACACACACAAGCACTGGATAGCAATGACATAGACTCACAATTCATTCCATGCCATGCATGCACACACACAAACAAGGACGACAAGCCGAGTGCAAGCCATAGGGTTGCACCAACACAATCCAGCACCCCAAATTCCTGCTCTCGAAGCCACTCCTGCATGATACGCGACTTGTGCGTGGGGTCGTTGTCGTGCTGGAAGATAACTTCCAAGGGTGAAAGCTGGTAAAACTCGATCGTACT